GAAACTAGGGCACTTTGCAAACTCCAATAATAGTTTCATAGATTATTATAAACAATACTACTTAAGGTACCTTTCGCTTTAACCCGATGCCCGTAAAAGGTCTTAACCCGAAACACCCTAAATCTTGGCCGGTACTGGTCACTATAAATCGGCCAATGAGATGTAGTGATTTAATCGGAAACCTCAGGGTCCCTCAGGAAGCCCATTAAATCGTATGGTCAGGGGATAATTAATTCTGTGGTAGCGTACCAAGTGAGATTAATGGCGGGTCAAGTAATCGAGAGCACTTTTCAATGGACGTCAATGTACGTAACGTGTTTATTGTTTCGGCTCGCTTTATTAATGAGCTTTGAGGTCGATATCCGGTTTATTTTCGGTGTTTAACAATTTGCTGCTTAATCTCTGTTCTTTTATTTGTGGGAATGAAGAAAGCAATTCTTTTGTATTTATTGGGTATTTCAGTTTGTTTTTTTTTGTGAGATTTATCAATTATATTGCGCGGATAACACTTAAACTAGAAGCTCTTCTGCAGATAATCTTTTTATTGCGCTGTGGTGACTAGAGTTACGGTCGACATGAGTAGTGGAGAAGTTGTTTTAAAAATTCTTGTTGGATTTTCTCTAAATAATATATATACTTCTTTAAATAATATTTAGAGAAAATCAAAGTGTTAGAGATATTTAGTAAATATTATAAATAAATTGTTAAAAAAAATTACGAAAAAAATAACATTTAATTTGCACAATAAACTAATTCACGATACATATCAATCTATGTTCCTACCAAAAGGTCTAATTTATTTCGTAAAAATTCAAAGCACACCTATAGTGCTATCTACTTGAATTGACAGTTTCATATCGCTATCTACCCTTGGACGAAATTGAAAAAGAGGAATAAAAGCATGTAAATTTGAAATATTTATTTAGGACACATTTCTTAAAATTTAAACAGAACTTCTAGTAGTTTATCATTTTTGTCAAATTATTATTTATGCAATCATTAAATCAGTGCAAACATATCTATTTGTTATTTAAAATAAAAGTATATTTTTTTAAAAAGAAAAAAAAATAGAGAAAGGCTAATATAATAGTTAGTTAGCCTAGTTACATAAGATGAACACGCACACACCCAAAGAGTTCACAAACCCAGAGTTCACAAAACTACAAAACCATGCACAACATAAAAAACTTAACGCTTAAATAGTCGTCGTAAAGAAGCCGTCGTGGCCTAAAGGATAAGACGTCCGGTGCATTCGTATGTAGCGATGCACCGGTGTTCTAATCCCGCAGGCGGGTACCAATTTTTCTAATGAAATACGTACTCAACAATTGTTCACGATTGATTTTCACGGTGAAGGAATAACATCGTGTAATAAAAATCAAACCCGCAAAAATTATAATTTGCGTAATCACTGGTGGTAGGGCCTCTTGTGAGTCCGCACGGGTAGGTACCACCTCCCCGCCTATTTCCGCCGTGAAGCAGTAATGCGTTTCGATTCGAAGGGTGGGGTAGCCGTTGTAACTGTACTGAGACCTTAGAACTTATATCTCGAGGTGGGTGGCGCATTTACGTTGTAGATGTCTATGGGCTCCAGTAACCACTTAACACCAGGTGGGCTGTGAGCTCGTCCATCCACCTATGCAATAAAAAAAATATTGTTATATTGGTAAACTGACTGCAAAGAAATAGGATATTTTTGACATTCTACTAATTTAGATTATTTATGACAAATTATTGGAATTAAACACTGCCCTTATATATTAATAGTGATCAGAAGTTGAAATACTTTGTGGTAGAAAGACTCTCATTAAATTTCTATGTAACATGTGTATTGAACATTCCATATTTAAACAAAAATATGACAAAAATATATTTTACATTTATTTGTGCTGTGTCGCTATAAGACTGACTATTGCCAACTGCAAACAGCATATACGAGTTTATGAATGAAAAAATATGGCTATATCCTTATAATCTTTTATGATTTCCCATAGCCGGCTTAAGCTTCTTCAGTATTTGATACAAATATCAATTTGATACTTTTGCTCATTCCTGAGAAAATTATTTTATATTCCGAATAGATAGACAAACCGACACATCCTATAAGGGTTACTGTAGGGGCCAGGTATGGTTTTTTAAATTAAATGACGATAATTCGACTTATAACGTGTACTTTATTTTAAATAGTAAAAAATGCATTATAAAATACTTTCACAAAAATTGCAATAAAATGGCGTGTGCGCAATAGTGGGCATAGATTACAGAGAGTAGACGCCGATGAGACGCCATAATGATATGGAGCGGTGGCGCGAAGATTTGAATCCTTAACATGCCCCCACGCGTTGAAAGCTCGACTTTCAACTGGAGACGTCATCTTCAGGCAGCAATGGAACAATGTTGCTAAAGGATCTTCGAACAACGCCATTTCTGGTTTTAATATCAGCCACTCTGGTTATCTGGTCAGTACCAGGATATACCTCGACAATGCGTCCCAATTTCCACTTCATGGGTGGAAGGTTTTCTTCCTTCAAAANATTAAATTACCATTTTGAGACAGAACAATGTGGGTACATAAGATTTTATCAATAAATTTAAGTCGATGCAAAATGTTACAAAACTAATGATAAATCGGTCAAAATTGATGTTAGTTAAACAAGTTCGTTTCTTATTTAGATAATAGAACAAACAAATACGCATAAAATATTTAACTAACTAACCTGGGTTTATCTAACATTAAAGCAATCGATGACATTGGTACTTATCTGTTTCACTGAACAAAGAATTGGTTTACTAACCTTACAATTACGTCGAAATAAGCCTAAAATACCTGATTAATTGAGTGTTGGGTTCAAATTATACAAAATAATCATTTAACAAAGGATTTCCACACTTGAACTTTGAACTCTCGACCACTCTTCGATGGCGTGCAATCCCGTTCCATTAAATTTGCACTCCACAGCTTCAGTATTGTATGTAATCTTCTTTTTCAACAAAGTATGAGCTGGTAAGTCTATCCATCCGGCTCGAAGGACCATGTAGGGGCCAGGTATGGTTTTTTAAATTAAATGACGATAATTCGACTTATAACGTGTACTTTATTTTAAATAGTAAAAAATGCATTATAAAATACTTTCACAAAAATTGCAATAAAATGGCGTGTGCGCAATAGTGGGCATAGATTACAGAGAGTAGACGCCGATGAGACGCCATAATGATATGGAGCGGTGGCGCGAAGATTTGAATCCTTAACAGTTACATTTCTGCTTTTGAGGGGTAATCACAAAAAAATAAACAATTGAGAACAAATTTTCAGTAGGGAACAGCATGTGTCTGCCTCTGGCATTGCTGACAACCAAGAGCAACAGTAACCACTCACCGTCAGGTGGAACTTATTCTATCATCTGCCTACAAGCACAATTAATAAATAATAGTTTAAAAAAACTAACAAAATACGCTTTTATAGAAAATCCAACTAAAAAATAGAAAATAAATTTTAATATATTAGAATTAAAAATAGTTTAAGAAAAAATGTTTTTATTATGAAAAAGCGTGGGTTGTTTTTCAGGATATTATTAAAATAACCCTTCTACTCATACCTGTTCATAAAATGTTTATAACTACTGATACCATGCACCACACGCTTTTTTCGGGGTCAAAATCATGTTCAAAGATTCCGTTACATACATACGTCTGAAGCTAATAAAAGCGTATTAAAAAAGATAATATCTCAAGTATTGGGAATTTTTAATTTTGAGAAATAAGGAAGATTCTTAATTATTACTTTCTTATAGTGAATTCATAGTGGCAGGATAACCAAAGAAACATTCCAATGCAACATTATGATTATTTCTTGTCTATTTTAGTGGTGCAATTTGATTTGGGTGGCAAAACGATTACAGCAGACTTCAATCTCAGTCAATGTGGGCATCTACCTTTTAATATCTATAGTCAACACTTTATCATCACAGCATTGGGAATTTTAAGCTTGGTAAGCTCATGTATTTTAATGTCTGTAAAATTAATTTTATTTAGGTTGTAATTCGCAAATGCTACATCCACACTTATGACGTGGATTACCCTTAAGGACTGAGTTAATGCAATTATACAAGATAAAAGCTAGAATGTAGACTGCAACAAGAGTGTCATGGAGTATCATGGTCTCATGGAGACCTAAGTACTGGTTTCATCAATGGACTCGACACAAAAATATGAATTGAAATTTATTTTTTTATCTTAACATGTAGTTACCTACTTACCACTGCAGTAACTGTAAAAACTATTTTTATCTTGCGCTGCTGATATGTTTATCCGAGTAATACATTTGTTGTCGAGAAATCTCATTATATTGTTGGGCAAGTAGTGCAGTGCTTACCTGAAATAAGATAACAGTAATAGATGTAGGGTCACAGTTAGGTTTTGATAGACATGGATTTTTATTACACAGAAGAATTTTTTACTACACAGAAGAGTTGTACAATAGGTGGCCATAGCCTACCTGGTTTGATATAGGTACCAAAATTTCAATAACCACCTAAACATATTGACAAGTTAAATTAACAATATTAAATCAATCCATTATACCTTTAAAACATATAGTATTAAACAACGACTTATGAAAGACACTGAAGCCATCAAAACTTGACACATATTGTGGAAAGTCAAGTTACACCTGCATTATTATTTCAAAAAATCGTAAATGTAATTATTGAGAATTAGAATATTTTCCCTTTAAAGGCTTTGAAGCACAACTGCGCTACAAATGTATTTTTTTCAGTTTACCTACCTCTTGGCATTGTTTTCTATATATTTCCGTATTATTATTGTATGTTTATTGAAGATGCCTAGTAAATTAGATGAAAAATAATTGTAGAAAATAAAGTTATAATCCGTTAAGTTTGTAATTAGATTTATGAAAAACACAAACATAACCTCAATCTCAAAGTTTAACAAATAAGCCCGTATCTGACATGAAAAATAACATGTTAATAACAAACTATTACCTGATACGGGGTCTCGTCTCCATTTTCTTCCAGATGCTTCAAGTTCAAGGAGAACAAACAGTTTTCAGTTGAGTTCCAAACATAAAGCACATCATCACGGAGTTCGAGCAAATTTTTCAACTTTCCACTGGTATCATCTGAAAGGCTGGCTTTCAAATCTCTAAATAACTTATGATTTACTAATTTACTATCATAGAAATGCAAATCCATTGCGATATTTAATGTAAATTACTTTGTTTTGGTCAGGAAGTAAGGATTATTTTGATGTAGTTTAGATTTGACAGTTAAAGTCGAGAATTGAAGTTGACGTTCTGTGCGCGGGAATCTTTAGCGTTTTGTTTTTGCTATTGGGATATGTAGTATGTCAAAAATATATTTTATTAACTCAATAGGAACGTATTTATTTACTATGTAAAAAATTAGTTTCACTGCAATTATTTATATTGAAATAAATAAATAACATGGAATCGTTAAATTACCTACCTTAAGCTTGTGAGTTTGTTTGCCGTAGACAATACGCACTTTTTAGTTTTTGAGTGTTGACCTTGAATCAACAAGTTATTCGCGATTGCAAATAATTATTTATCTCAATCACCGAAGGAAGATACAGATTCATTTGACAGTGTAACAAACTTTAAAACGAGTAAGACGGATGGAAGATCTTACGGTCCACCTGATATTATGTGATTATTTCGGATATCGTTATGGGAATACCGTCGCCCACTTAAAGACACGAGGTCTAAGTCTGGATTGAATAGTATAACAAGGCTGCTCCAGCCTTTAAGCGGAAATACATTACTGCTATAAAGTAGAAATAAGCAGGACGTTGATACGTTCTTGTACTGAATGTTATTGTTCGAAACTTGAAAATAATTACAAGTTTATCTTAAATGTTGTTGGCACGATTCAAGGTTTTGGCTGTTTCTTCTATTTAATATTAGCTACCCCCACAAAACTAGGTGAAATGTCCTGTAAGACTCGTTTCGAAACATTGGCCAATCTGTTCGAAAAAGTAATTTAATCGACTACATTTGAACTCAAAAACTTTTCCCTCCAGATTACATATGATCAGCAGCTTAAAGGCACACGATGTGATTTTGTAAGAAAATAATAAGTTTGCAAAGGAATTAAAAACAAAAATTGAAATAATTTTCCGCTAACTCCAAAAGGTAGCGCGGCTCGATACTTTTCAAATTTTAACAAGCAAAAGGATTTAGCGTCATACGCTTCTTGCAATAAATACAGGCAACAACACTAACTGATTACACCCGCATCCGCGCGAACGTTTTCACTTTGATTCTAAATGGTATCACGTAATTTCATCTCCCCGAACGAGCAGTGCTTTCTTATAAATAAAGCAGCGTATAGGCGGCTATAAATAACGTTTACCGAGCATTCGTACGTGTATCTTGTGGATAATTTAATTTTTTTGTGTGTTTTTATCGCTTTTGACATTGACTGAGTGGTTGAGTTTTGAATTTTTAAGCTGATTGCATTTTCTTTATTTGGTGGCTGGTGTTTGCAAAAGAGCGAGAAACATGGCTATAAGTTTTGAGACGCGCATAACCTCCAACTGACCTTTTTAAATAGTATTCAGTATGCTTTTAAGTAGTAGCAACATAATTCTGTTAATAAATTTCAAATATGTACTCAAATTGGATTATTTGGACTGGGTTCTAAATTATAATTTTCAGAGAATCCGTGTAATTTTTGGTTAAAAGTCAGAGAAGAGGACGCTTCTTTTGACTTTGCGGTCGGATAACTCGACACGAGTACCTACGTCTGGTATATTACCTCTTAGGATATAGGATCTTAGGATATAATTGCTTCAAAACTTTAATATAAATAAAAAACTAATACAAAAAGTGGTTCAGAAATATTTTTTAAGGCCTTTTTGGATCACTGGTGGCCCGAAGGCCTTTCCAGTTTCACTAGGATAGGTGGGCAAGCAAAGGCTCAGCCAGCAGGGATGAGGTTTGAAATAACAGCCCGAGCGTTGCCCGAGCGTCTCCAAAAGAGACCTAGCAACTCAAGAGCAGCTGCTTCGCGAATGAATCTACTATCTGACCGGAACCACGATCTGCTGAAAAAATTCGGCGAGAAACACAGCGGGCTGACGTGTGGGTTCGGTTGCACGTCGAACTCTTTACGGGTATATTTAAGGCCTATCTAGCTACTTATATGCAGACGGAGTTTTTATTTATTACTAACTTATGACCTACAAATGACTGTGACCTACAAATGGCTGTGACCTACAAATAGAGAGTCGAATGAAAATATAAAGAATCTGTAACATCGCTCCATTACAGAGTTCTGCAATAACATCGAAATAAAAATAAAAAAAACTCAATTTTCTCACACATCTTTCAGTCATCCAATATCAATGACATAAAATCGCAAACTGAATAAAATATAAGGAACGTTGTATGTACCTTGCGATTCGCGATACGGAGCTATTGATAAATTTACCAAGGCGTCTCCTCATATGATATTAAGGGGTGGTGCGACTCTCCACCCGCGACCCGCTACATTATTATGCCGGGCAGGTCGCGAATGAAATGTTGCAGGGATATCGCATAATAGTATTCGAGACTTTGAAATCGAAAAACAAAAAGTATAAGGAGTTTTAGTTTTTTCCTAGGTTATAATTACCATAACAAGAAATGACTTTACCTCCAATTTGGACAGCTAATCTTTTAGTTCAAATATCTACAAGATAATGACAATAAAAAAAGCGGGATTAACGCGTTAAGGTAGTTTTAATTACTTTAGATATGAATTCCAACGTTCTAGAAGATTCTATTAAAGACCTTGGACCGAGAACTTTGGTTGGTCGAAGCCTTACTGCCCGCACTATATCCACTGATGTTGACTTAGGCACATCATAGTTCACCAGGAGGACGCGACGACGCGTCGGCGGCTGCGGACTGCGATGAGGTCGTTTTCGTCGTCTCTGTCGTCACCGAACATACTGTGGAAGAGCAACCCAGTCGGCGGTGTATCGCGTTCCGACCCGGCAGGCTGGTTCTGGCCCAGCGGGGTATCCCGGAACACCAGCGGCATCGCCCGGGCGGCTTGGTAGGGCCGCCGTACCGCGGAGACCGACGTCGTTGGTCGTCGACTATCGCCTCGACGACCCGTCGGTCGGGCGTCCTCGGGGTGGCGCCGCGTGTCTGGTTGTAGTGTTGACCGCGGGAAGCCCCCTACTCTGAACGGGTTTTGACCCCGGACGGAGATCGGACGTCGGGTGTAAGAGTGCAGCGGAGTCGTTTAGTTTTAGGGCCTAAAAATTCCTTGGGCCCGCGGTCTGCTCTCAACACCTGCAGATCGTTGAGTCCCACATACCCCGCGCGCCCCCTAGGCGCGAGGGCCTCGTAGGAGGTTCGGCCCCCGGCCCGAAAAAAAAGGAACATCATAGTTCCTCCTGGCTGAGCCCTTGCTCGCCCACCTTCCCGGTGAAACTGGAAAGGCCTAAAGGAAAAAAAGTTTTAGTCATATTTTTGCTGGTAGACAGAGGACTGTACAAATAAGGTGATGATCTTAACTCCTACTTAATTTTAAAATGATCAGTTAACTGGAAGATTGAACGCGAACTCTTCTGTCGAATCTTTCTCCGTTTTCCATCCGTCACGATGGTCTGTACTTCGGAATCTTAAGTCGTGCTCACGGCAGACGAGTATAGAGACCACGAGTTGGCAATTGGTAAAAGAACAATAGGTAGTTTAATATGGATAATTTTAATCATTGTAATCATGCATAAATGATGAGCGGTTCTCGCTGATTTCAAAGTCGTCTGTTATGCGTTAATCCGAATTACAAAGAAGTAATTAATCCTATAGAAATCGGAGTGCCGATTTTTTTCTTTTTATTGTAAAAACAGAATTGATGGCACAGTTGATGAGGGTAGTCAAAGTTTAGGGTCGATGACTCAGCTTCGGTGAAGGTTGTATCTAGTAGTAGTAAAAATCCATTCATAATTTGGAAGCCACGTTCAAAGCAGCAGCCCTGGAGGGAGCTGTCCGCCGGGACAGCACCGATGACTTGTCATTAATAACGACAGCGGAAATGTATCAAAAGGTGACGCGTGTCCCTTCGTCTGTCTCCCGCTTTATTTATGATACACGCGAACAATATTTATATCCCTTTCTACGTATTAAGATTGAGATGTATTTGTTTGATTCTGTGCGGCTTTTTCGTTACGTATTGTACGTGGTTTAGGGGGTTACTGGTTTGAATATCAATAGTACAAACTGCCATTTTTTTCAGTGTCCTAAAACACAGTTCCTAAATAAAGATCAGCTTTCTTAAGGTTAAAATCGTCAATTAAACATGCGCTGGTGGTAGGACCTCTTTTTATTACTGGTGTTAGGACCTCTTGGGAGTCCGCACGGGTAGGTACCACCACCCCGCCCATTTCTGACGTGAAGCAGTAATGCTTTTCGGTTTGAAGGGTGGGGAGCCGTTGTAACTAAACTGAGACTTTAGAACTTATACCTCAAGGTGGGTGGCGAATTTGCGTTGTAGATGTCTATGGGTTCCAGTAAGCACTTAACACAAGGTGGGCTGTGAGCTCGTCCATCCATGTAAGCAATAAAAAAAAGGTTAATTCACTTTTAGGTTATCACTAAAATAATGCTAATTTGAACATCGAGACTATAACCGCCCTTTTTCAAGTTTCAAAATCCCAACCATCTACGAAAAAAATAACGCATTCCTACTAATATGGTTTTGTTCGCGAGTTAAAGACATGGTTTCGTATATTTGGTGTATTATTCTTATTACCTACTTTATTTTAGGCGCCAGAGAATATGCTCATACTAAACAAAAAAATGTTCGTTCTCTCACAAAATAAGTTATGAATCAAACGTCAAAAAAGTTCAAATGTCAACTTTCAAATTAATTATTGACAGATATGATGTCATTTTGTATCGAACGGTATCATACATCATAATGCCACGCACGCAACACGAACAATTTACACAATATTGTCATACGTCACCGAGGTGGCGTCCTCGTGAGATGTCTACCCCAATTACCGTTGGAATTGTTTCCACACTATCTATTACTTTTCCTCGGTTCCAACTTGGGAATTTGAGAGATGGATAGTAAAAAGTAGTTGTTAGGGTGATGCTTTGGAATAATAACGATGATTTATATTACTGTCATTGTGTTTTTGACGTGTTTGTTGATTTTCTAATGTTACGTGGACACCCAGAGTCCTTTGACGTCAGACTCAGCTTAAAATATGAGGCCTTATCTATGTCGCGCACCTTACCCATCATGCCTCAATGGACTCTTCAATTTAAATTTGTCTCAAGTCATATTAAACTTAATACAGTTAATATAGAGAAAATAATTTCTTATAACTAATTGTGCTTTTTTTTTCACCACCATAAAGCAATCGAGATTCAGTACGTTCTGTATTCTAATTAAAAAATGTCATGTCATGTCATGTAAAAAAGTCTATTAAAAAATGGCGATAATGTTAAAAGTGGTATCTTTCAAAAAACATGGCAATACTATGTACAAAGTTAGGCCAAAATTAACAGAAGCTATTAACAGAAATATTCACAAATATATTCGCTGTTTACGTTCAGTTCTTATCATAATGCATACATTGTCTGTCAGGGAGCTTCGTCGATTCGCTCGCATTGCGACACACTCGTCCTAAATCTTGGACCGTAACGAGAACAGTTTAATTTACAATCGTTCGTGCTGTGTACCCTCCACGGAACAGAACCAATAGAGTCCTCGTATAAATCCAGCGAGATGTCCGAACCGCTTCACCTGCCTTAACCGCGCGCGCCCGCATCGTGTCGACACAGACACCAGAAACATAGAAGTGGACTGTTTCATTTTTTTTATTTATTTTGTTTTTTATTTATTACACTTTATGTAAAATTTCTATTGGCGGACTTAACGCCTAAGGCATCCTCTACCAGTCAACCAAAGGTAATGCAGAGTAAATACTGGTAGGTGCAATGAAATTTATATTAAGTTACAAATAATATAATATACACAAAAAAGTATATACATACATATACACAATCACATATACATATACATACATACATACATACATACACACATACATACATATAATAGTTTATACAGTATGAAAAATATTATTAGTATTCCACATAAAAAAAAAACCTTGTTAATATCAAAGAATCAATCAACTTAAGTTTAAATACTCTAAAGGGGAGTAATATTTTGTAACAATCAGTAACGCAAGTTTTAATGGGAGATCTAGCATATATCTTTATTTCTTTCTTACATTAGATTAATCGGAATTCTCTGTCGTACTGTGAGAAGGACTTTTTTAGCCACACCGCATAGTAGGTAAATATGCACCTTATAAGAACCTCGCTTAACATCTTTAGAGACTAATTACTTCAGAGACGAAGTCGTCGTGGCCTAAGGGATAAGACGTCCGGTGCATTCGTGTCGAGCGATGTATCGGTGTTCGAATCCCAGGCGGGTACCAATTTTTCTAAAGAAATACGTACTCAACAAATGTTCACGATTGACTTCCACGGTGAAGGAATAACATTGTGTAATAAAAGTGAAAACCGCAAAATTATAATTTGCGTAATTACTGGTGGTAGGACCTCTTGTGAGTCCGCGCGGGTAAGTACCACCGCCCTGCCTATTTCTACCGTGAAGCAGTAATGCGTTTCGGTTTGAAGGGTGGGGCAGCCGTTGTAACTATACTGAGATCTTAGAACTTATATCTGAAGGTGGATGGCGCATGTACGTTGTAGATGTCCATGGAATCCAGTAACCACTTAACACCAGTTGGGCTGTGAGCTCGTCCACCCATCAGTTTAAATAATAAAATATTAATATTTTATATAACACATTTTCTTTTTTGTAGAGTAATTGAAATTTATAAAAAAAAAAAAACTATTTCTAAAATTTCTGTATTGATAAGACTTTTGCATAAAAAAGAAACCTTCAGATTTCCATCTAAGAAAGAAATCTTGGAAAATAGGAAAAAATACTGTTTTATATCCAAACCTATTTATTTATACACGTTTAATATGTTATAGAAGATTTAAGTAGATTATTTAAAGATCAAATTAACATCAAAATGCGTCTCAGAAAAACTATCTCATCTAGTATCGATATGACGGTGTATGTATATTCATATGTTAGCCAAGAAAGGGTTGAGCAAGTGCTACCTGTGGGTGGGGTACCTGCACCCCCGGGTGGGGTTGGATTTACACCCCTCATTTGTTTGCGATGACCCCCGAGGAGTATCTTGCGAGAGTCTTCGTATCGTCTCAGAGTTTAAGTACGGTTTACATGACAGCCTAAGTTTTAATAATAAAAAAACTACGTTTGAGAATTGACGTGACATTGCTAATAATAATATTGGCATAGATTGAGTAGAGGACGTCCACTGCATAGATACTATGTATAAAACAGTTTTTTTGTTGTTGCTAAGATGGGTCTACGAGCTCACGGCCCACCTGGTGTTAAGTGGTTACTGGAGCCCATAGACACCTACAACGTAAACGCCGCCACCCACCTTGAGGTATAAGTTCTCTGTATAGTTACAACGGCCTTCAAACCGAAACTCATTATTGCTTCACGGCAGAAATAGGCAGAGTGGTGGTACCTACCCTTGCGGACTCACAAGAGGTTCTACCACCAATAATAACCCAAATTATAGTTTTGCGGGTTTGATTTTTATTACACGATGTTATTCCTTCAGCGTGGAAGTCAATCGCGAACATTTGTTAAGTACGTATTTCATAAGAAAAATTGGTACCCGCCTGCGGGATTCGAACGCCGTTGCGTCGCTAGATACGAATGCACCGGACGCCTTATCCTTTAGGCCACGACGACTTCAAAATGCGGCTTGTGTGAACGAAGTAGAAGTCTCTAATGTTTGTGTACTACTTTATACCCAATCATATGAATTTTCCACCGCAAGTTTTACGATTATAGCCTGCGAACCTAACGCTCTGTCCTTTTGTTGAAAAGCAAATGTTATCCTTGATTTCGCTCCACGTCCATGCACAACAACAGAGATCATTCTTAACGAAAGATTCTGAAGTCGTCGTGGCCTAAAGGATAAGACGACCGGTGCATTCGCAATTAGCGATGCAACAGTGTTCGAATCCCGCAGGCGGGTACCAATTTTCTAGTGAAATACGTACTTAATAAATGATCACGATTGACTTCCACGGTGAAGGAATAGCATCGTGTAATAAAAATCAAAATCCGCAAAATTATAATTTGCGTAACCACTGATGGTACGACCTCTTGTGAGTCCGCGCGGGTAGGTACCACCACCACCCCGCCTATTTCTGCCGTGAAGCAGTAATAATGCGTTTCGGTTTGAAGGGCGGGGCAGCCGTTGTAAAAAAAAAGATTTTAACAAGCGTACTATACTTACTGTTGTGTACTAATCTTAATGTTGATGTTCGAGCATTGTATGACCGTTTTAATATTAAGCCTGTTGGCGATATTTACGCCAGTTATTAGCGCCGGGCCGGTAACAGGAGCACTTTACCTTAACTGTTTTTACTAAGATTGGAAGCTTCTCCTTAAGTGCTTGTGTTGCAAGCCTAAAATATGTTAGGGTTGTTCAGAAGATTTTTATTACCAACTATGTTAATTTGGAATTTTTAGTTTATATCCGTTCTTGAATTTCGCCGCCTTCAAAGTAAAATCGCGCGTGAATTAAGATTGTTTTTTTTTGGAATGTATATGCAGTTCTACCATTCAAATTTCTCAAATCTACAACTTCTCGAGCAAGACATGGATGACACAGTTGTCACACGACAGAAAAGTTGGCCTCCACCTCGTTTGGTAAGCTAAACCTGTTTAAATACGTATGATACTTACATAAAAATTTAATGCAATGACAACTTTTTGTTTATGTAATTTAATCTAAGTTCTAGAGTACTTTAAAAATGGTCTCTTCTTACTGATAGTTTATATGTAGCTGCCTCATTTCAAGTATATACAGGTCGTGTATAAAGTGTTAGGATGTAATTCAAAGCTTGGGACCGGAGCCAAAGATAAGCTATAGTTTATAGAGTGCGCTAGCCTTCAAAAGAAATAATTTTTAGTTCGTTGTTAGAAATTATCGTGAATGGGATATATTATTATACACATAACATCAGTAGGCCGTGATTGGCTATGCCCCTGGGTTTGTTGAGATCCACAAGTGACGCTACTAATTTCCATCAGACAGTCCAACGCTGGCATAGCCCTCTAAGGCTATCAGCATAGATAGGAAACAAAACAGGTGGGCCGTATTCTCAATTACCTGTAACAGCAATAAAAAAAAAACGACTGTCAGTGGTTTCTTACAAAGGAATTATTATAAATAATTACTTACGTCATAGTAAAATCCTGTTATTTATTTTCGTATATTATTCATTATCATTTTTGTGTGTTTGCTCAAGTGTTATGAATTTTCAAATAAGGTTGTCTCAAGTTTTATCTATAAAAGACAATTTATAACCAAATATCGTTCTAAAAAATTCAGTCTGTATGATTAATAGCGTTGTTCATCACGTCCAAGTTATTGTAAACATGAGTTTCACAAATAAAGTGGTCCTTATTACCGGAGGCGGTTCAGGAATTGGTGCGGCTACAGCTATACTATTTACGAGAGAAGATGCTCAAGTAGCTATCGTAGGCAGAATCGAAGAAAAACTAACTAAAGTTGCTGAAGAATGCGAGAAATACGGGAAAAGACCGCTCGTGATCAAAGCCGATGTCAGCATAGATGAAGAACTCAATAGTATAATCGATAAAACAGTTACACAATATGGTAAACTCGATATTTTGGTAAACAACGCGGGAATTACTGTATTAACTAAGTTGTTAGACGCGGATTTAGTGCAAAATTTTGACAAAATAGTCAAAGTGAATCTACGTGCTATTGTGAGCCTTTCTAATAAAGCTGCACCTCACATCATCAACACCAAAGGATCTATTATCAACGTATCTAGTATATTAAGCACTAAAGTCAGAGGTGATCAAATAATATATGGATCTTTAAAAGCAGCGTTAGATTACTTCACTCGTGCATCAGCTCTGGACTTGGCTCCGTATGGAGTTAGAGTCAATGCTGTTAATCCAGGATATACTAAAACAAATCTACTGAATTTCTTTGGACAGGAGGATATCTGGGAAAGATTAATACCAAGAATACCGTTAGGTAAATGCGCAGAAGCTAGTGAAGTTGGGAATATGATCCTTTATTTGGCGAGCGATAAAGCGAAAAGCGTAACAGGATCTACGTACGTGATAGACAATGGTAGTATGCACATGTAATTAGCAAGCTGTAAATTGTATACTGTAATAGTATATTGTAATTGTAAATTGTAATAACCTTGACTTGGTAATATATAAATTACTTTGTTAATTTCTTTTCGTATTTGCTTTAAGTCTCAAGAAAATGTTTTGCCTTAAAGCGTTGTTATTTTTTTCCTACATATGCTGATAGCCTTGAGAGGCTATTTCGGCTTTACCCTGGCGTGTAGGTGAGCTTTTGGGGCTTAAACCGGCTGACGGTTAACAAGTGATCTTGATTTTCATCTAAATATTTTGTATCTCATTCATTTCTTCAGACATGACTGTATCGTATGAGGTTGGACTTAAACAGTGATTTTTTTACCAGATGGTAACCATTTTCAATTAGATTGACTGTACGATGTATTTGCTTATAGAGCTAAAAAAAGTTGGTCGCATTTTTAATGTTATCCTGTCAGCCAGTTACCAGCCAATTACCAGTTCTATAATATGTTTGTATTAAAGGACTGTTAGACTTAGTATTGTAGTGCGTTGCATGCCAAAGAGTCTGATGACGTCAGCTTGTTTTGCAAACTAAAAAGTACAACATAAAGTTAATTATATTCAGTGTTCTTGTTGTGCCTTATTTAATTTATGGATTCATGTTTATTAATCAAACGAAATGATATCGTGTCTTTGATAATACGGTTCTGTAACAATCTTTCAATCATCAATCAATTTTGACATAAATAAAATTCGATATGAAACAAACTATTTTGAATTTGAACTTGAATTCCAATTAATATTTTTATTTTGTGTGTGTGTTTTTTTTAAATTGCCCTTATAGGCAGACGAGTACACGGCCCACCTGATAATATCCTGAAAAGCACCCCACGCTTTTTTTACAATAAAATTATTGTTTCTTACACTATTTTTAATTCAAATTTATTTTCTATTTTCAGTTGGATTTTCTTCTATAAAAGCGTAGTTTTTTAGTTCTTTTAAACTGTTATTGATCTTCTAATTATATCAATGTTTTTTCTATTTAAAAAAAAAATTATCTTAATCAGTCGGTAACTTATCCGAGAAATCGGTGATCGTCGCCCCTTGTAGTTTCCCTTCTTGGTCTTGACGCAGACACTCCGGGTCTCAGCAAAACAAAAATCGCTAATTCGGATTATCCTAGTAAGGATAACTGACCAAACTGTTTAAGATATTGAATTGTCTTCGGTCGTTAATAAGTATGTCAAATTTCGAGTTGGTGCGACATTTTGAAGGGGGTTAAAATCATCTTCAAAGATTCCGTTACATACTAACATACGTATGAAGCTCCATGGGCAAGTCCATGGGCGACGGTAACCACTCACCATCAGGTGGGCCGTATGCTGGTCTGCCTACAAGGGCAATAAAAAAAAAGCAAATAAAAGCGTATTAAAAAAAACTATATTTTGTCTGAATTAAATATTGTGTAGTTTATTGACTACGGAATCCTTTAGTCTGACAAACACGTACAACAAATTATGCTGAACAAATCTATTATTACTATATAAATATTGCTCGAACTATTTGCGATCACAAACCTTGTATTGTAGATAACGAACTATTTATTGAGAGAAGCACAATGAGCTACGTAGGTAAAGTGGTGTTGGTTACTGGAGGCAGCGCTGGAATAGGTGCTGAAATAGCTGTACATTTCGCTAGAGAAGGTGCCGACGTGGCTATAGTTGGGAGAAATGCTGAAAATCTTCATAAAGTTGCAGCCCGATGCGCGAAAGTAGGCAAACCAGCTTTCGTAATAAAAGCAGATCTTTCACAGGATGAAGACGTGAGATTTATTGTGAAAAAGACCGTGGAACGTTGCGACCGATTGGATATCCTTGTTAATAACGCAGCGATACTGAAATCGTCATCCATATTTACTGAGGACTTAATGGAAGCAATTGATGATGTGTTCAAGGTGAATCTACGTGCAGTTATACAACTTACTCAATCGGCTGTACCACACCTGACAAAGACCAAAGGAAACATAATCAACATATCAAGCATATTGGCTACATCTACGCTATCATATCCACAGTTTTTACCATACAGCGTAATGAAAGCTGGTTTAGAGCACTTTACCAGATTCTCAGCATTAGAACTTGCCCCATCCGGGATAAGAGTAAACGCCGTATGTCCCGGACCGGTGAAAACGGAGATTTTGAACAACGCGGGAATCGAGCGACCCTGTGAGAAATTTGAGAAACTAAGTCCCTTGAAAAGGATCGCACAGCCTGAAGATGTAGCAGAGGTTGTTTTGTTCCTAGCGAATGCTAAAAGCGTTACCGGTTCCTATTATGTTATAGATAATGGACTTAAGATCAGCTTTTAACCTTGAATTGATATTTAAACATATTTCCATCGAAATCAGTACAAAATTGATTAATATTGTACAACGATCATACTATTCCAATAATAATATATTTTTGGTCTGAGGTGAGGTGCAAAATCTAATTGCTTTTTCATTTAAATTGATTTATAATAGTAAAATCTGTAAGAGGTGATAATCGTCCCAACTGGTTTTTTTTTGTAAATTTATAATTTGCTTTAAAAGGACCAGTTAATTCTACTAGTTGTGTACTCACAAGCAAAACTATAGTGTTAAATCGTTCTGAGAAGTTTAACTTCCTTCGGTTTATATGTATGTATGTTACTGCTAAAATAGTAATAGAAATATAATGGGTTATACAATTAAAGTATATCGTATTTATGTAATCAATACGTTACTTTATAACTAATATGCCCGACGATCTTTGAAGACCAAACGAAGCAATGAATTATAGAAATAGTATTAGGTTACCAGAGCATATTTTACCTTTTATCCCAAAATTCCCACGAGAAATTACATTGACATTTCTCGTTGACCATGTTGGCGTAGCCGCGGATAGCAGCTAGTTAAAACTATAAATTTGCGCAATCACTGCTATTGTGATTACATCCAGGACGTACAACATCTTGGCCTCTATTACATATCTCTATCTATATAGTGAAACTAACGGTTCATTTGGTGTGATGTTGTTACTGGAGCCCATACACAATAGAACGTGAATCCTTTCATCCTTCAAACAGGGCTGCTTCGTGACAAAAAGGGAAGGCCATTGCTTACCTGAAAACTTGTGTGTTGTCAACTATCGCCTCGACGACTCCGTCGGCCGGACGTCCTTGGAGAGCTGCACGTCTGGTTGTGTGGTCATCAGCCCGTGCCTCTCCACTTCTGGATGTAGGCCTCTCCCATAGTCCGCCACAATTTAGTGTAGTATCATAGTGGGCCGGGTACACACAAATTTTAGTTCTGATAAAAACTAGTGGTAGGAGGTTTGCGAGTCCACACGGGTATATACCACCACCCTATTTATTTCTGTCGTGAAGCATTTCAGTTTGAGCGGCGGGGAGGGGGGGGGGGGTAGGGCATTGTTGGATTAAAAACTAAGACCTAAAACTCACGTCTCGAGGTTGATGGCGGTGGACCCAGTAGAAGGTCCCCCCGGCCCAAAAAAAGGACGTATGATGAAAGGATTTGTTTATTACGATTATAATATTATACATTTTCAGTGCAGCATGAGTAAAACATTTCTGTAAAGACAACGATAATCTATAGTGAATTTCAACAGAATTAGTATTTTTCTTTAAATATCTAAATTTCTTCTTTTCGTTGCTCATAATAGTAATCATGGATAAGGCGGAGCACATTTTATTAGCTTTATTGTGTCGGTAATGTTATCTCTGATTTTCTAGAATTGTTAATTAGTTCACATCATCACACCATGCATAGGCATGGGCCTATACATAGGCATGCTCAGCTACCACTTCACGAGTACAACACGGACTAAAAATATTTAATTTCATAAAAAAATGTATTGCGGTTTCAGAACTGTGCTCAATTATCTGATTAACTACGTTTTTAAGGTTCTGTGAAGGTCACATATAGATTACAAAACGTTTGATTGCAAAAAATGATAAGATAGATTATTAATTCAATAGTAATCCATTATCCGTTATATAATTCGAGCCGGTTATACTTTGCGCTTTCTCGCTGGCCAAAAATAAGATCAAATCTGCCACTTCTTCTTTCTTGCCGACCTTCTTAAGGGGAAGTTGTCCTGGATAATTTTGTAGTGCTTCTGGAATTCCAGCTGATTCGAAAATATCTGTTTCCACAGGGCCAGGGCTCACTGTGTTAGCTCGGACGCCATGAGGAGCAAGTTCTAAAGCTATGCAGCGAGTGAAATGGTTGAGGGCGGCTTTAGATACTTTGTATGTCACGAAATTTGTGATTGATACGTAATCTGCAGCAACACTTGAAACATTAATGATATTGCCTCTTGTTTTGATCAGGTGCGGTATAGCCACGTTGGTTATCAATACAGAAGCTCTTAGGTTTGTATTCATCACTTCGTCGAAAGTCTCTACGAAGCTTTCTGACTTAATGTCATCTTTCTTCAGCATCCCAGCGTTGTTAATTAATATATCCAGTTTTCCGAATGCATCTATAGTTTTATTGACTATACCTTTAGCTTGATCGTCTTTCGCCAAATCTGTCGTAATAATAAGGGGTTTCTTGCCCAATTTAGAACATTCCTCTTCGACTTCTTTGAGTTTTTCTTCATTTCTTCCCACAATTACTACATCAGCCCCTTCTTTAGCGAACAATATCGCTGTGGCTGCTCCTATTCCTCTACTGGCTCCGGTGATTAATACCACTTTATTGTAGAAACTCATTTTACGGACGTTCACTATGTTTCACAACCAAACACTTACTAATATGTTTTATCAAGAGTTTGTTCATCAACACAAATACCTTGATATCGATTTAGATACCATTGAATTGTATAACTACGGAACTAATATGAAAACCTGTTTGATGAGTTGTAAAATTTATGTTCTTTAATGAAATTTCCGAATAACATTTTCATTTCAAATTATTAGGTTCAAGTTTTCTAGTTTGTTTATTCGTTTATCCGCGCCTTTGTCCATCGTTTTTTCGTCTGTATTGAGTATAGTTATCTTTGCTATTTCAAGAGTGATTTCTGAGATAATGTCATAGGATAAGTGGTGTGCAAGTTATTTACACAAACGGGTGTCTATTTTATTGCTAGAGACAGTAACCGTTAAGTTTGTTGGAGAGTCACTAGCATATACTTTGTAAAGCATTTATTCACTTCTAGATGGGGAATAATGAAATTAAAATCAAGGTTATATTATGAAAGCAGATTTATATTTTTCTAAATAAATGCAGAACTAAAACATGTTTCAAAACGAATCTTCCAGTTAAAGAATTTAAAAGCATCAAATTATAGAAAAATGCAAAATTTGGTTAAAGGTCAAACACATTGGCGCGTTGCTCTGGATTTGACGAGCAACGCGCCGCCCTCGTCGCGGTCATTGGAGAGGACCTCTCGCTGCCGCGCGTCGTGGCTACGATGCTCGGCAGCGACGCGTCCTGGAAGGCGATGCTCGACTTCTGCGAGTCCACCATCTCGCAGAAGGGGGCGGCGGAGCGAGAGAGGGAGAGCTCTTCCCTTTCCGCACCGATCCGTCGCCGTCGAGCCGGGGGCCGGAGGCGGGAATACGCCCGTACGTCCCGGCCCCTGTAGGTGGCGGCCTCCCCCCGGTGAAGGTCAAGGGGCGACCTGAGGGGGTGAGGCCGCGCGGCGCGCTACCAGCACTCTAGCGCGCTGCCGTGGAGTGAATAGAGCGACCGGTCGACGGTGTATCGCGTCCCGACCCGGCAGGCTGGTTCTGGTCCAGCGGGGTATTCCGGGACACCAGCGGCACCGTCTGGGCGGCCCGACGGGCTGCCGTACCGAGACGGCCGACGTTTCAGAGCCTTCGATTCGCCTCGAAGGCTCCGTCGGCTGGGCGTCCTTGGGGTGAGCCGCGCCGTCTGGTTGTAGTGTTGACCGCGGTAGCCCCCCTACCTCATCCGGGTTCTGACCTCGGAGGGGATCGGACGTCGGGTGTAAGAGTGCAGGGGAGTCGTTTAGTGGGTGGGTCCTAAAATCCTTGGGCCCGCGGTCTGCTCACAACACCATGCAGATCGTTGAGTCTCACATACCCCGCGCGCCCCTTTTGCGCGGGGACCTCGTAGGAGGTTCGGCCCTCTACCCGAAAAAAACAAAAAAAAAAATTGTTAAAGTGCTGATGGGCTTGGATGGCGCATCGCCGCCCGTGTTGGTTCTTAACAGCATTCTGTCTACACCTGCCACGAAGCGCCCAAACGTTCCAGTTTAAGGTGTAAGTACATATGATACAAATACGACATTATGTTTTAAGATGATTGGTGGTATTCATTACCCATACCAATGCGACCACTATCTCGAGACATGACGTGTTCGAAGTCTCAACAATATAAACCAGATGTCCCACTTCTCAGCGGGACTGCTACCACTGCCTTACACAGGAATACCCAGTATGGCAGTATTTACCAGTGTGGGTTTACGTCTAACAATCTGTTCGCAATATCTACCAGTTAACGTGGTAGTGGCGTTACACGATTACGTTGGAAATGCGTTATTCATGTTCTAGAGTACGGTATTAGAAACTGGTCTAAAACAAAGAGAACATCCTGATTTCATCATTTTAATATATTATGTACGTAAAAAATGTTCACGATTGCTGTTTTAATTTAATTATATCTTATAACCTTAACGAAAGTACGAGGATACATTTTTTCTTATCGTTTTAGGAAACTTTAAATTGATAAAAATATATAAATAATTAATAGTCAATTATAAAAAAAACCGACAATCTGGAGCTTCATTTAATTAGTTTAACAGCCATCCATTATCTATAACGTAATTCGCTCCGGTTATACTTTGTGCTTTCTCGCTGGCTAAAAACAAGATCAAATCTGCCACTTCTTCTTTCTTGCCGACTTTCTTAAGGGGAAGTTGTCCTGAATAATTTTGTAGTGCTTCTGGAATTCCAGCTGTTTCGAAAATATCTGTTTCCACAGGGCCAGGGCTCACTGTGTTAGCTCGGATGCCATGAGGAGCAAGTTCTAAGGCTATGCAGCGAGTGAAATGGTTGAGGGCGGCTTTAGATACTTTGTACGTAACAGAATTAACAACTGATGTTGAAGTTGCAGCGACACTTGAAACATTAATGATATTGCCTCTTGTTTTGATCAGGTGTGGTATGGCCACGTTGGTTATCAATACAGAAGCTCTTAGGTTTGTGTTCATCACTTCGTCGAAAGTCTCTATGAAGCCTTCTGACTTAATGTCATTTTTCTTTAGTATGCCAGCATTGTTAATTAATATATCCAGTTTTCCGAATGCATCTATAGTTTTATTGACTATACCTTTAACTTGCTCATCTTTCGCCAAATCCGCCGTAATAACAAGGGGTTTCTTACCAAATTTAGAACATTCCACTTCGACTTCTTTGAGTTTTTCTTCATTTCTTCCAACAATTACTACATCAGCCCCTTCTTTAGCGAACATTATCGCTGTTGCTGCGCCTATTCCTCTACTGGCTCCTGTAATCAAAACTATTTTACTAGAAAAACTCATTTCACGTGCATTCAATTCTTTCCTCAAAAGCGCACTGATTAAAATGTTACTTATCGAGTATTTAATCAAAAATGACCTTGTGCATCAATTTATTATCAACATTTTTCGGATTTGCAAATGCACATGTTTTTTGCAATGTGTTACTGAATGTTATTGTGGTTTAAAACATGTATAAGCTTGCCAGAATAAACCAAGGTCGCATAGTATTTTTAGAACAGCTTGGATAGGAAAGAACTCACGCTCTCTCACTCAAGACTCACTCACTCGCTCGGTAGCAATCTATATCAACCTCTGTAGGTAACCTAGCGGTATCTATGCGCTCAGGTAACTGCTTAACAACTGACGGGCTGTGGGTTAGTCTATAAATGAAAACTGAAAAATGAAAAAAAAAAACAATCCAACAAAAAAATTGCACAAAACGCTGCTAGCTGCGTTATTAGAAAAACTTAGTTCCCTCGACGAATGCGAATCGGTGAAGCTACAACAGGAAATTAGATTGTATCGCTTATGTTTTAAAGGTACTTTTCGTGAATCAACCTTTCATGCCAGATAGATATTAACTGCAGTTTCCTAGCATGAGTCAATCGTCAACACTGGATTTCGTAACAAACTTTTCTCATTTAAAAACCGGTCGTAATGTATTTGATGCAAGTAACGCTTACGTGTTGGATATTTCAAGTTGAGTTTGTTGTTTGTGTCGGCTGTCCGTTGATTAGATTGGCAAAGATCGTGAAAATTTATTTAATTCACGTTGTTCAAGATGTTACATAAAAATGTACGTATTAAAAAATATTGTCTTCGTTCGGTTAGTATGAGCCTTTATATACGATGGAAACTTTAAAAAATTATCTTCTATATATAATACCTGGATATTTAACAACTTTTATATGAGGTTTTGAGATCATAGTGAGTTTTTTGTATAGTCATATTGATAACGTAAGGTTCGGTGCACCTTATTTTTTATTTAAAAAAGGTGCAAGCCTATCTTGAAGTGATTTGGGTGTTTCAATGATGTAATGAATAACTTATTTATTTGGATAAGGATTAACATCATCTTTATAAAAAACACCTTCACAAATAATGTTTTATTTTAAAACAAATTTGGTTAGCATAAAAAACATTATAGTGAGCCAACCTTTAAATATAGACATATGCTGTCGCGGACTTTTTTTTAAATCTTTTAAAGGGGTAAAATTATGTCATACATTATTTTAGCGAAAATTTAACCGTTTCCGCAGCGCACGCAGAGGAAGTTCTCAAAAGGGAAAAAAACCCCGACTTTGAAACATTCTTTGTTGGTGCTCCGCTTGTATTGGTCTTAGCGTGATGTTATATAGCCTATAGCCTTCCTCAATAAATAAGATATCTAACACTGAAATAATTTTTCAAATCGGACCAGTAGTTCCTGAGATTAGCGCGTTCAAACAAACAAACTCTTCAGCTTTATAATATTAATAGTATATAAGTAGATTAAGTAATTATTAGTAACTACAAAAAAATATTTCTTGGACTTCTTTGATCATAAGAATTTGAATTCGACTATCTTCTCATAAGGTTATCTTCTATATTTAGTTGTATTTAATTTATTATTTGTTTTTTTTTTCGTGCAGTGTGCGAGTCTCCTACGAAGTGTTTGCGTTCTAAGGGGCATGCGAGGTATTGCGTGAAAATGTAGGATATTGATAGTATCATGGTTTTTAAATAACAAATCAGAAACGTGGTTTTGCGTATTGTTTTTGATAAATTATCAATGTACCGTCAAAAGTATAACAATGCTTTCTATGTCCATTTTAATAACAACATATGTATTTCTCTTCTTAACAAATTTGATTAACACAGTGATATTCAGTATTTTAGAGATGATCATCTGCTTGCTTAGTGGAAACTGTTTTTTTTTTTGGTCATACTATGTCACGTCACGTTAAGACATTTCCGAAATAAATTAATGTGTCGTCCATCCATATGGCTTAAACCGTAATATCTGCAAACATTACCGGTAAGGTTTAGCCGGTATTATATCGGCGGCATATTGTTCGTGCCGGATCATTCCTTTGTCTCGCAGATGAGACGGCCCGTCTTATTGTTGTGTTGTTATGCCCCCTGACCGACACAAACCCATATATTTATGCTGTTGTGTGATCTTAAGGCAGCTATGTCGATACACACGGCTTACTTGAGAATTATTTCAATTGTCCATTTTCCTAGATAGCTTTAAGCGTAATAACCCTTCAGTAGAAAGGTGCCTGGAAGTCATCAAGGCAGCCAAACTGCTATTACTGTGCTAATATTTTTTTCCGGAAATGAAGAAGATGATCAATTAAGTTTTTTTTACTAGTTATATAGTAACGAAACCTTCAATTCAAATTCATTTTTTGCTGCTGTTATATACTATAGGTACTATGAATTCTTCTTTCAATCTTGATATTTTTTACCATAGTACTCGTTGCCGTCGTGGAAGAAGATAATGAAATAATAATAGGCATCTTGAATGATAATGGTGTTCACTCATGGCCAAGACATGTCTCTTTTTAAGCAAAGTTGAAAGAAAGTACTGTACTTAAGGTAGTGGCCTGGCTGTGCCCTTGTCATTGTCGATGTATACGGATAGTGTTACCAACACACAATGAGGTAGACTGTTTTTCTCTGACAGCAAAAATGTAATGCTGATGTTACTAGAGTTGGGTCGTACTAGGTAAATTAGATACTAGGTCCATCTGTTCCTAATCTTAAGTAATACTCAATCCAAATACCTAATCCACATAATCTTCCTAATCTCATTCACAACCAATACTTTACTTAATAAGCAATCTCAATCTGCCTATTCCTAATCTCAAGTTCTGATTTCGTTAATAGGATTTGATTAATGTGATCGTTGGATCATTATTTGAATGATTAAGATTAGGTATTTAGGAATTTTGTGATAAGATCCAACGTGTAAGTGAGTGAGATAGTACAGAAACAGATGGGAGCGTATGCTGAATTTTCGATTTTATGATTTAAGAATACGGAGATTATGTGGAATAGGTGGATTATGCACATTGACAAAATGGGATTAGGTGCAGCCTAATTTCGTAAAAAAAAATTATTGCTTAGATGGGTGGACGAGCTCACAGCCCACCTGGTGTTAAGTGGTTAGTGAAGCCCATAGACATCTACAACGTAAATGCTCCACCCACCTTGAGATATAAGTTCTAAGGCCTCAGTATAGTTACAACGGCTGCCCCACCCTTCAAACCGAAGCGCATTACTGCTTCACGGCAGAAATAGGCAGGGTGGTGGTACCAATCCGCGCGGACTTACAAGAGGTCCTACCACCAGTAATTACGCAAATTATAATTTTGCGGGTTTGATTTTTATTACACGATTTTATTCCTTCACCGTGGAAGTCAATCGTGAGTATTTGTTGAGTACGTATTTCATTAGAAAATATGGTACCCGCCTGAGATTCGAATACCGGTGCATCGCTCAACACGAATGCACCGGACGTCTTATCCTTTAGGCCACGACGATTTTAAAATTCATCTCTAGATGTTACCACGATCACGTCAAGTTGAGTCACACACTAACGGACCCATAGAGCTGTATGTAGAACATTCAGTTCGACAATTAAGATTCCACGGTTCATTGTAATTACACCTATGCGGGTTTCTTAATGAAGTTAAAGGGAATTAATTATTTTAGGGAGCATAAATTTAATCTGGCAAGACCTTTACTTATGACGGCACAATGCGGACCTTAGTTCATTATTGTTAGGTACGTTAATCTTGGACAAGCACTTTGTGTGTGTGCCGCGCTAATAACACTGGCGTTAGAACGAAATAGGCCGTTTTTGGTTCGGAATTATCATTTTTTAAGACGCGAGACTGTGCTTAATCTGAAAATTTTTTTTATTGCCCTTGTAGGCAGACAAGCATACGGCCCACCTGATGGTGAGTGGTTACCGTCGCCCATGGACTTCAGCAATGCCAGGGGCAGAGCCAAGCCGCTGCCTACCGTTAATCTATGTGCAATAGCTGTTTCAACTAATACCGCCAATACAAAGTTAATTACATTTAAACTTTATCGTTAATAAACTTTTACAGTCGGATTAGTTCGATAAGCCATAGATAGCGTTTGAATAATATAATTCGCATGCAAATTTTGGAATTTTTTATTACTTTCATAGGAAGTTGAGCCCATGGGCGTCTGATGGGGAGTGGTCATTATCGGACATGGACATCAGCAGTCTAGAAGCAGGTGATACGTGGATTTTTTTTCTCCGTGGTACCATGGTGTAGATGACAGAAATCATACCAGGAAATAAGGATGGACTATACTTCTACCTTTCCACTATATGCCTCCGTAGGGTGCTGGAATTCTTCGGACATATTGCTCGTAAAGAGGGTCACATTCTAGAACAGCTGATGGTGACAGGAAAGGTAGATGCAAACGTCCCAGAGGACGCAGTCCCACGAGATGGTCGGACCAAATACGATCTTCTCTAAACATCAACTTCCACAATGCCCTTCATGAAGCCAAGGATCGCAGCAGATGGAGGGAAATCGTACAGGAGAAACTGATGCAGCGGGGGAGTCACGACCCTCGGTAAGGAGGAAAACGACGCGAGGAGGATACTCCTACATAATAGGAGTTCAAGCAGCACAATAGATTACTGACGCTAGCAACGAACGCGCCAAATACTGGAACACAAAAAAATCTAACAATTCATTTTCACGTGAGTTTTTTTTTTTTCCCTTGTAGGCAGACGAGCATACGGCCCACCTGATGGTGAGTGGTTACCGTCGCCCATGGACTTCAGCAATGCCAGGGGCAGAGCCAAGCCGCTGCCTACCGCAAATTAACAGGTACTGTGTTCCCTTACTGAATGTACACGTACCGCCACAAATATGGAGATATGGAGAAGCCTCGCAAAAGCCGCATCCAAGCAACATGACATACATAACCACGATCACTCCGTGAGTGTACGATTGAGAAGAAGAATTAACACCACGTATAACACA